AGTTTAATTTACGATAGTCGATCGCGAAACGCCACCTTTTTGGATGTGTTAATGGATAGTCATTATTTTTCTTACATAAAACCACCGGGCTAGCATAACTACTTGAGATGGGCGTTATGATCTTTTTACGTAGCATATCGCTGATGTGCCATTCTATAATTTTTTCTTTATTCTTATCATACCGGTATGCTTTGTGGCGAACTGGCATTGAATCTCCGGTGTCAATACTATGGTTAGTAACTTGAGTAAATCCTGGAATATCACTAAATAACGAAGCAAATTCACTTACCACTTGTCGGATTCTTTGTTGCTCTTCATTAGGCAGGTGGTCAAGGTTTAACATCGGCGGCTCCGATTTTTCTTCTCGAACTGGTTTCATCGTCAGCTTAGGGACGCTTCATTAAAATCCAGGGTTGCTTGTGCCTCTGAAAGAAAATCTATTCCTAAGATAATATGTGCTTGCAGATTCTTTACTATAAAAAACATAACCTTTACTTGTTCGTCCTTGATACGGACGTATAGCGGTAATTTACCTATGCACTTACATCTTTCTCCTTGCGCAGCGAACACTGTCGTATTATCCGAATTATATATGCGATATTTAAGAAAATACTTCCTAAAAAAATCTTCTGCCACACAGGAACACTGCGCGCCTGTATCCAGGAGTGCGGTGGCTTTCACCATCACTGTATTTAACTTGAAGGAAGAGGAGTTTTCTTGGCCTTCGGGGATTTCCGCACCCTCCCGTCAGCAGAAATCCGTTTTAGTTTAAATCATTTTTCATTTCCATGCTTTCCTTCTTTTTCCACTGGCCTTGAGACTTTTTTCCTGGATTGCTATTGAACTGTCGACGTTCGCCGGCTGTTTTTGGATGCTCGGGTTTCCTTGCCCACTGATTCGCTTTGCTTCCGTAGCCGTGTGCTTGACTTTGCTGTGGTCTTGGCGCACCAAATTGGTTTCGTTGTTGATATTGGCGTCTTCTTTCAATGTCCGCCGTTCTTCTACTTTCAAACTGGATTGCTAGCTCAAATAATTTTTCCAGTGTAGTCGGATTCCTTAATTCAATAAAGTCTTGTACTTGGGGAAGTAACCTCGGCAAAATCACTTGAATTATCTCAGGATTCGGACGGTTTCCATACAAGAGTTTGAAGACGTGAATTTTTCTTAAAATAAAATAAAGCTTGAGAGATTTTCGATTCTTTGCTGATATATGCTGAAAAGTTCCGTTTCTAATTTCGCACGATCCCTTACGACAGGGAAGGCTTTTACTAGGGCAGTCCTGAAATTTTCGTAAGTATATGGTGGGACTTCCTGCTTGACCCAAGAGACTTCTGCCTATACATTTGAACCAGTTAAGCGCTTGGCCCCTCAAAGCGCTGGTAGCTAAGGTAACTTTTTGGAACTCGTGCACGGGATACATCATGAAGAGGGCATCTAGTTTTTCCAAAAAACTGGTTACCGGTGAGTTTCCATTAAATGTTGCTTCTGGTTTCATCGCTGCGCGCATGGTCTGGACGATGTAACCAAATCCTTCCAGGGCGGCAGCTGGCATTTCTGGATTCTGAGCCGCTTCTGCAGGCAGCACAGGTTCTTCTTGAAACTCGGCCATGGTTATTCTTCTTCGTTGGGCGCCACTATCAGGTTCAGTGTTTCTCCTTACTTGCTTGGGGAACATTGAGGAACCTGACTCGGAACAGGGAGCTTACTAAAGCTATGTTCAATAAATGTGGGAAGTAGACAGGATACACAGGAAGGGTATACGAAACCCTTTATTTTTCACTCTTTACAATAATTTCCGTACTTCGGAATACAGAGACCAACTACTTGTGGTCTGAACGTAAGAATATAAAAATCTTAACTAAACTCTAACTTAAATTTTGGAATAATAAACAAGGGCCTGCGTGGAAGATTGGCCGTATATTAACAGGAAGCCGTATGTAGTACAGAGAACTGTTAACACTACAATACTTTTAAAATTATCAAGAGGATTAAACCTCTGGCCTGGAAGGCAACCAGCAACCGAGTAAAACTTCTAAGGCAAGCGGCCTGCTTCGACTAACTCCTTCCTCTCTCTCGCTTGGCAAAAAGCCACAACTTAAGTACTTGGCGTTCGCCAGACAAATTTGCATAAATAAGTTAAAGCTTTTAATTCTGGCCGGAAGTAGAAAATAAGAAGTGATAGTAAAGATTTAAAATAAAAATAAACGTTATTAAAACTTAAGATCCTTACAAGCCTTAGCCAACTTGTCTAAATCTTCCAATGTTTGTTTATAGACCTTAACAGTGTTAGTAGGGGGAAAATATTAAACGCAAAACTGGAGCAATCACAGATTCTGGCTCTCAGTGATTCTGTATTATTCAGTACATTCTCAAAACAAGGACAGAAGAAATTAAGTACGATTCCAAACGGAAAGCGTATCTACAAGCATGCCTTGTTCGGTGGCTCCAATACGTCAGATGCCAGCATGATGCGTTCACGAAATACTTGTCAAGCTTAATGGAAGGCTATACTTGCCATTTTGAAGGACTTGGAGAAGTGGTGATTTCTGACTTAATATTAGCTAACAAGCGAGGGTCACACTTTTTTAATCTAATCAGCGTCCAAGCCTAATCACTTATAATCTAAGATTTGGATGGTCTGATTGTAGTTTTCATCGGAGTAGACATTGCTGGAAAGTTAATCACAGGAAACCATCTGCAACTAAAGAATGGACTTAACTGCAATTGAAACAAAATCGGGTTGGACAGTCATTGGACACACAAATATAATGAGAGTTCAAGTTTAATTGCTTCAATACTCACAACTAGTACTTGCATTTCAGAATTGTCGACTTTAGACTCTCTGGATATCACTGATCCATCTGAAAAGAAAACAACGATCGAATTACAAGAGGCAACAAAACATTTCTTGAACACAGTTAAGATAGAAAATGAAAGGATTTTAGGAAACTTAACCTTGGATTGAAGGTCATCTCCCACTTCCTGATAACTTTGAGCTTTCTGAGAAAAGACTACACAAAGTTGTAAAGAGTCTTAAAATAGTAGGATTGCTTGAGTACGGAAAAATGTTTGCAGAGTGGTTAGAGAAAAATATTATAGAAGTGGCCAAAGGTGAATTGCGACTCCCTGCACATTATGTACCTCACCACCCTGTTTTAAAGGAGAATAGCACAACCAAAATCCGACCCGTTTTTGATGCTTCGCCAAAACGAAAAGGTACACCGAGTCTCAATGATTGTTTAGAGCGTGGATTAAATTTGATTGAGATGATACCAAATATTTTGTATTGTTTCCGATTGGAAAAAATTTGTGTTATAGGCAACATTCGCAAAGCTTTTTCACAAATTGCAACGAATTACTGATGAAAAGTTTCTATGTAGATAACTGTGTAGCAAGTGTGCCGAACGAACAAGAATTAAAGCTTTTTATTAAAGTTGCAACCAATGCTACGACTGAACGAAAATTTGACTTAAGAGGCAATTTTCGCAGTCACTCCCAATACAAATGTGTTGGGGATGCAGTGAGATAAAGATGCAGAGTTGGATATCAGTGTGACTAGTTTGAGGGAGATTTGAGTAGAAAAAATTACGAAGAAAATTATACTTTGTGCTGCTCATCGAATCTTCGATCCCATTAATGAGACTTGCCCTGCTGCATTGTTTCCGAAACTATTATTGCAGAGAACGTGGACGTTGAATTGGGAGGAAGAGGTTAACTCTGAAACTAAAGCAGAATTTCTGAAGAGGATGAGAAATATTTTTTATTTAGAAAAGGTGCGCATTCCTCAATATTTGAAAATCGGTGATAACAATGAAAAATATTCTTTGCATTTCTTCTGTGACGCAAGCATGTATGCCTATGCGGCAGTAGCCTTTTTTCGAGTTGAAACTAGTAAATGTGTTAAAGTACAGTTGTTAAGTGCTAAATCCAGAGTTTCTACAACTGAAAAAATAAAAAAAGAATTATCACTAGATTAGAGTTATTAGCAGCCAGCCATAATTGCTTCTCGCCTTGCTTTTTCAATTGTGTGTGAGATTCCACTTGATGAAGTTTACTTTTCGACAGAATCCACTACTGTACTTACTTGGATTAAAAGAGAAGAAGCTTGGGGAACCTTTCTTCGAAATCGAATATTTGAAATGAGAATTTTGATTTCCAAAGAGAAATGGAGACATGTGTCAGGAACATTAAACCCTTCTGATCTTCCAAGTAGAGGCTGTTCTGCGAATAAAATGATACAATCAAAATGGTGGGAGTGCTCGAATTGGTTACATTTATCTACTGAGAAACTAACTAACTAATTTTATACCTGCTTCGCTAACTTAATGGCACTACAGGGACTGATAAAATCAGTCAGAAATCCACCTTGGGCCCAGGGTCCCACACCCCCGAGACACCAACAAATTTATGGAACCCTCTGATGATCGCACAACGATCATCGAGCCCACCGCTAAACACGACCCAGTCAAGACCACCGTCCCGGCTGGGCCGAGACCACGGTGGGGTGGGCGATGACAACTTAGGGTCGATGACCGGCCGTTAAATTGGGCTACCTGCCAGCACTACACGGGATGCCCCTCTCCTTAGGCTTTTACATGGAATACCAAGGACAGCAGTGACCAGACACTCAATGGCCCAGTTTGCTATTTGGCTACCAATACCCTGGTGGAAGGGACTTACACCTCCCGGCCCATGAAGAGAAAGTATAGACTTACCCCATGGACCATCGGGAACCGCCAAGTTCATAAATTTTATACCCCCGTGGCCGAGACTGCCTAGGTACAGATCCTAGCCAGTAGCTTCGCAGAGTTCTCTACGTCGACCCCCGGGGGGATCTACTGAGAAAGGCCATCTTCAGAATTTGTTGTGAATGAAGATGAGTTCTTAAGGAGCGAAAGAAGATATTCTGCGTAGACTAGCTGCTTGTCTACGCAGATAAAAAAAAAGTAAATATTGATTGGTACTTTCGTTACTTTTCACAGTATGAAAAGATTGTACGCATGATTGGCTGGATGTTGAGATTTCTGGAAAATTGCAAAGAAAAATCGGAAGAATTGAGAAAAGAATCAGGTCTGGATGCAGAAGAACTTTCAGAAGCTGAGAAAAGAGTAATGAAGATCATTCAAAGAGAAGAATTTTTAGACGAGAAAGATGAGAAATTAAGAACACTAAATGTTTATAAAGATGAAGATGATCTCATCAGATTAAGGACAAAAATTGTCTATCGAGAAGACAGCCATTTTTTTACAAGACCTGTGATTCTACCTTCTCAACGCCAAGTTGTAAAACTTTTAACATTTTCTTTTTCACAAAAGGCATGAACATGTGGAGACTTAAATGTTACTTAATCTTCTGAGGGAACGTTTCTGAGGGATCTTATATGGAAAAGAAAGCATCACCAGGCTCGTGAAACAGCTCATGAAGAAATAATGAGAATGATACAATGGCTGTTTCCGTTAGAGGTTGCTTGTGAAATGGTTAAGGATGTTCACGCTGAAATGCAAAGATAGCAAGTGTTTCATTCTGAAGTTTCCCAGGCACGAGTAGCAAATCCTGGAGAACCCATTACATGAACTGTAACAACTCGATTTGGAAGAATTATCAAAATACCAGAAATACTTGATTTGTAACGCGATTGTTAAGTTGTAAAGTCTCAAGATGGGAAGAAGCAGAAAACTGAGTGTTAAATTTATGCACGCGTATTGTTGTCAGTATAACTTCACGAGTTTAATGTTTTTAACTTTGTAATTCTGAGTCTGGCAACTGAAAAAAATATTCTAATGTTTTGAATTTAATGAGAATTGTCTTTATATATTCGTAGTTAGATGTTTAAAATATAAACGCTGTGATTATTAACGTACGAAGAATAAAAAAGAGTATTGTGCTAATACTTTGTACATTATTTGAGTTTTTGAGTATTATGAATATCGATTTATAGTTGAGTTTTGAAATCGGTATCCGATACTTAAGCTGAGAAACATTTTTAGGCGATAAACATCGTGTTTTTGTTTTGTTTTTATTAGATTTAAATCAGATTTTTATAATTTTGTTCACAATTCCTACAGAGATATTTTAAGATTTTGCAATAGTTCTTTTGAGAGCTGGATTTTTCTTTAAAACATGAGATACAACTTTAGATTTCATAAGAGCTGTACGTACCTTTATTGGGTACGCATGTTTTGGCTTTTCCCCAGTCAGATGTAAACTTTGTCAGATGTAAACTCCTTTCATATTAATTAGTTATGTTACTTATTTTGCGTGTAGAAATATTAAAACCATGCTTTTCCCATTTTTTAATAAACGAATAAGAGTATTTCTCTTTGGACAGCGCAAAAGTACAACCTTCGATCCATTGTTTATTTTTTAGAGACATTTTAAAGAAAAGAATATTTTTAATGCTGCATACAATAAGTAAACATTATGCAAATTTGGTGCAAGTCACGTTTATATTTTTAAATTAATATTTAAATTTATGTATAAAATCAAAATCATTACAAAAATGTGTAAACACCCTGTGTATATTACGCAGTTTCGTGTCTCGTAGTGTTTTGATACTCTATTTAATTTAATTCTTTGAAGAAATGAAGCAACAAATTATAATACATGTAAAATCTTTGGTTTTATTCATAACACATACATACTTTCTTTGATAATGGATAAAATCTATGCAGTTGCAAAGTACAATTTTAGTATTAGTGTTTTATAAATTAAATAAAACGAAGTTGTAATTTCTTTAAACCTGAAACAGAACCTTTAAACGAGACACTTTTTTTAAATGGCAAATATAAGGTTTAATTCTTAGTATTTTACTCGCGTAAAGCCAATCGAAAGAAGGAGGAGCAAGTAAAAGTGTAGAAAAATCAATCAATAAATAAAAGAGTTCAACGGAAAAATTTTTAACCTGCAAGAATTATTCACATTCGTATAAAATGGCCGCCTGCTTAAGCAGACGATCAGACAATGCTAGATCCAACTCTGTTCACATATAGTTTCAGGGTGATTTCTTGATTTACTGTATTATGTTGAAAAAAACGAAAATATGCGAAGATTAATTCAATCAGTTAATTCAATCGTTTTAAATCATTTCTTTAAAGTTGAATCCTATTCTAATCTGTCTTTGCCTTCAGCTTTTAAAGAACCTATTTTTATTGTTGTGTTTTCTCATTTTGTTACTAGATGACGCCAGTGGCTTTGTTTCTTCCTTTTTCGTTACTGTTATCGCGTGAGCACATGCTTCTCCATCGTCATTTTCATTACCGCAGCTGAGAGAGAAGGTTTTATTTGACCTTCAAAATTAAAATCGTGAAATTTACGCAACTTAGGCTGATTCTTGTTGCTATAGTATGTTTCACATTGACCTTTGGAGTGTTCTTTTCGTTATAATAATTTAGCAAATATCAGAATGGTAGAGTAACTTTACTAAGCTGGGATTCCACTGCAGTTTTTATAAGCTTTTGTATTATTCTGATAACACGCTTTGTCCACACTTGATACATCACTTTCACAAAACTCTTCAATAAATGGTTAAGTGGACCCAATCCAGTGAACCCAAATTCGAAGCCTTCCAGTTTCGTCACTTTAATATCAGTTACAGCAAATCTTGTCTCTCTCGTAGTGTTTAAAGAAACCTTAATTGAAAAGTGAACTTCTTTAGCTTTCGTCCAGACAGACCCCATAAAGCTAAAAAGCAATTTACGCCGCCATTTGTAACGAATTTCTGCATCTTTCATGCCCAGTGTCGTGGCAAAAATCACAGTATCTGAATTACAGTAGACATCAAGATCGGTAACATTAGTTAGAGAAGACAGACCTCGCAGAACGCCATCTCGTAGTTTATTGCCGTATGCGTTTCCCAAATCAAGAGGATCATGTTCATGGATGTCTTGAAGCGAGTTGTAAAGCGTCTGAAAGAAAGTATTGGATATTAAAACAGGAAAAGACATTTAGGATGGACAACATTTTTGCCAGTCCTTAACAGTTTTATATTAGTACTTATTATTAAGAAGCAATAATCTAAATTTCTAAACTTTAAAAATATTAAAAATTGCAACCGTGGATAAAAGGTTTAACATTGTGGCTAAAAAAAATCAAATTTAATATAAGAATTCATCAGTAGAAAACTCGAAAAATAAAATTCGATAAATAAAAATGCAAATGGGTAATAGAAATAAAAATTTTAAAATGAATTTTCTTTGTCTTAAACTTTAATTCCGAACTCATCAGGAGAAAATGAATTAAAGTTTCATAAAAGTCGATTAATGTGACTCGAATACATGTTTTTTTCGTCTGAATCATTTGAGATTAAAATCCGATAAAAGATTCAACTAAATTTTCAATAAAAAAATTTAAATTCAAATAAAACCGAAAGATCGAATCTCACATTTATTCAGAATTTGCCCTACACGTATTCGATCACTTGTAAAAAAGAGAAAATGCGTAAAATACTATATTATACAAAAATTACTACTCTCTAAAAAACAAAATTTGCCAAAGATACGTTAAAATGCAAATCCGACTTTCAAAAGAAATTACAAATTAATAATTAAAAGAATTCACTTTTAAATCAAATTGTCGTTTAAACAGAACTCAAAGAATGGGTGGTCTCCGATTATGCGAACCTTAAACTTTTAAAACTAAGAAAATGAAAATTTTTTCTAAAAAGATTTCCATAAATAAATTGTACATAAAATTCTAAACCGAGCCTTAACCAGCTAAAAAACTGTAAACCTATCCAAAACAAAATTATTGAATAAAACGCAAACTTACTGAATATCTTACGGAAAGACCAGCGTTTTCCAAATTGTGGACTCGTGCAGAAGAAAACTGAATTCAAAACTACTCTTAGAGATGTAGAAAAGTTGAACTTTTTGGAAAAAATATGAGACAAGGGTCTAACTAAGTGTGCAATAGCAGAAAACATTAATTTTGCGTGTGTGCAATATCCTATCCTGTTAATCTTTGTGGAAGAGGGGGTGAAATGTGAGTGTGGTCCGGAAAAGTAACAAACGACGAAGGAGAGTGTCAACGTAACATGGCGGCAGATTAAACTTTATTAAAAGATAATGTCCGCTGTAAAATATTAAAACACGAAAACTGGCTGAAAGTGGAGGAAAAAGGAAAAAAAAAAAAAAAAAAAAAATCAAGTCATAAAAGATAAAGGTCTTCGCGTAATCGGGGTTCAGAATGTCTTCGTCTGTAATCGTCTGTTCAGAATGAAACTAGGATCCCCATGTTTTTTTTTAGTAAAAGTAAAGTTTGCCAGTTTATTTAAATTGACAAAGTAGTAGAAAGATTAGAAAGTTCGTATTTAAAATAATTATAAGAAAAAATTACTAGATACTTTTACATATTTACATTAAATTTCTTATCGTAATCATCCAATTATTACCTCCCATTAAGGTTTAATTGATAATTACCATTTCAATTTAGATAAGAATTTTAAAAAGTATTCTTAATGCCAACTTTCCTTAAAGATATAGAAATTTTGAATAAAGGTTCTCTAAGAGAATTTTGACCAAGTTAGTGATTTCTTCTTGAAATGTATCGGCATTGTATCGGCAAATATTTATACGTTTTATATAAACGTTATTATTATTAATATTTGTACCGTCATCAACCTTAACTATAGCAAAATAAATGTGTTAATCAGACATCGGAAAATGTTCAGAAAGTTTGAAAATTTTAATTCATAGATTATCGTCTTTATTAGGCTCTACGTTACAGTCGTATTATTGCGATTCGAGTATCAAATTTTTGAAACTGCTTCCAGGAGTAATAAACATGAATTTAGATTATTGTTTTTAAATTTATTCTAACATATTTGAAAATCTTATCTGTATTAAGAAAATTAAATATTTCATTAATGAGTAAATAATAATAATAATGATTAAATAACATACTTGCTTTATAAGGCCAGTTAAACCCCAAAAACAAAATATATTTCTTTTCTGACGGTTTATTCTTAAATTGTCAGTGTTAGAGCCGGCTATGCAGTCTGAAATTACAAGAAAAAAAAATTACCCATTACATTTACTACAACTAGTAATAATACAAATGAACTTAGCATTCTTGGATAAAAGACAACAAGTGGTAAAAGTAAAAATGAAACACGTAATTTATACAGCACGTTACACTCTCATATCTCGAAAGTGCGACGTAGGATATATATATTAGATTTATATACAGCATTATTCTAACATAGGTATTTTGACACAAAATCAGATTTTTTCTGAAGATGTCATAGCGATTTTTTCCCGCATTTCGATTCTACCACTAAAGTTATATCTAAATGCCAAGTTTTGTAAAAATTGCGCCAGTAGTTTTTAAAAAGTTAGCTCTCAGAATTTTAGCTCCTCGATGTTTATTGAATTTGTTATATATTTACCAATATATCTTTTTTTTAATTAAATGTAATTGAGTCCTTCTTTCATTAAGTCGAAATTTAGGATCAATCTAAATAAAATTCGCAGATATTTTCTGATTTATTTTTTTAATTTATATTTTTCAGTTATTTAAAAAATTTTCGAAAACATTTTTGAATTATAACCTGTAAAATTTTTATCATCATTTTAAAGTAGATGCATTTCTACGCATACCTGAAAAAAATTTAGAGTTTTTTATTCAAAATTTCCTAAGATATAATGAAATTTATACGCTGGCGAGTTTTGAAATCTGGTGTATTTGTTGCAAGAGATAATAACGCCAAAGTGGTTTTAGCACTTTGTTAAAATTGTTTGTTAAAAGGGAAATGAAAATAGGTTACCATAAATTAAGAATTTTGTTAAGTGAATTATTCTTGGCGAAAACTGAAAAAAGTACGCCAAGATAAATGCTTGAATTTCTCGGCATGTTCCTCCCCCAACTTAAAAAAAATAATAATATTTACGCATAATTTGAGTTGTAGAATAGACATATGAAAAAAAAATTTTAAAATAATCCGATTCTGTGTTAAAACATCCAAGTTAGAACAATGTTGTATATAAGTCTAATACATATCCTAAGAGGTGTTTTCCAGACTTGAATAACTCAAAATGAATTTCGTCAATCGACCCTATATAGATATAGAACTGTTAGTATTATTATTATTATTATTATTATTATTATTATTATTATTATTATTATTATTATTATTATTATTATTATTATTATTATTATTATTATTATTATTATTATTATTATTATTATTATTATTAGTGTACTTTTATAAACAAATACGTAAGCTCCGTTAGATAAACTACTAAATACTAAATTCTACTAATTAACAAATAACTCTCAGAACTGATGATTTTAACTTTTGATATAGTTATATTTCACATAACATACATTGCTAAGATCATAAACTCTCCATTTAAGTTATGATCTATTTCGAAAAGTCTCTTCACTCAAAATATTATACACCTTCATATCTTAATATTTTACGTTTCCGAAATGGTAATAACTTGTACCAGACAATGAAGTCTCATAATAAAAAATTAAGGCACATCACAAATACCTTCTTTCTAAATTATAACTTTGCTTTTATTTTCTGCTTTAAAATGCTTTAAAATGAAGTAGTACATTCTTTTTAGCTTTACGTAAATCAGCATGGCCGGCGCCCAAACTGGTGCAACCGGCAGAATTAGAGGCGGTAAAATGTTTAGAATACGAAACCACTTTGAACAGCAAAATCAGAAAAAATTTAGAATTTAGAAGAGGCACTTGGAAACAGAATCTGTTTTATTAAACAGATTCTGTGACAGAAAACTGTGACAGCTGTACTACTCACGATTTTCTTGAGCATTATATTTTGTGACATCGTTTTATACATACTTCACAGTCACGTAATGTTCTTATGCTGACCCTGAATGAAAAGGCTGAAATGGGAATCGTTCTTATTTATCTCATCAACAGAAAGGGAAATGGCATGATTTTTTAAAAAGCCTCAATTGGGAAAGCCTGAAACGAGACATAACCTTAGATAAGATAACATTTTTCCAGGTTAAATTGTAGAGACATTAGGTATTTTTTGAAAGCAGGAGAGATGAAAAGTTAGCAACGCCTTCGCCGGAAATCGAACATGGAATACGCGCCCAGTGTGCAGACCACCACACCACGAATGCATGCCAAGAAGGCGGGAGAAATACCTTATAAAATATCACTATTTTACAAGATTCGACGAATTTTTTCCAAAAATTGCAACAGCAGCCATTTGTTGCTAGCAAGTAATATTCATTTCTGAAATCGAAGTAAGGGAAATACGAAGCGTTTGTAACACCAATTCAATCGATTTTTCAGTATTTCTGTTAAAAATTTTTAATAATTATATTTTTGAACTTATATTGAGAATTTTGAATTGTTCGTAAGATTTTTTTTAAGTGAATAAAATAATTTGATAAACTGGTATAGAATATGATAAACAAATAATGTTTCTTGAGCATAATATCAAAGCTAAAAGAAGTAATTTTGAATATCAGAAAAAATAATGGACATAAAATTATCTTTTGAGTATAATATAGGAAATATTTAATATTTTGATATTGAATATTGTTGTAATGAATATAATAAATTTAAAAATATTTGTAACTTTAGAGATTGAATAATTATAATAAAATTGATTATGAGTAATGTAATTAAGAAGTGAAGTTAATGCAGATATGTAATATCAAAATATGGTAAGTGAACCTTAATGGATAATTGCATGTTCACATAGAGTACTATATTAAGAAAAGGCTTTGAAGGTTCCCATCTTATGAAAAAAATTAAATTTTTTTAATAGAATAATTTTTATTCTTATTTTTTCATATAATAAAGTGGGTTTATTTATACATATATATATATATAATGGAATGTTTTAGCACAACTCAAAAAGACTAATTGCCTTTAAACAAGGAACTGTAGCCTTTTAGAAGTAATTGTCTAACACCCCTTGGCCACTACACCAGTTAGTTGAACAGGATTTGCCGATAACATGGATATGTTGGCAAGTATAACTGTCTAGCACTCCTTGGCCACTCGTGCAGAACACTATTTTGTTCAAGATGATTTGCTCATAAGATTGCTATGTTATCGTTTAACGCCCCTAGTGTTGCACCATCAACAAAAATGTGTCTCTAAAAAATTATTCTTGTTCAGAAATAAAAATGGTATTTAATCTTCACAATAGCTGCAGTTGATTGCAGCTACATCATTATATTACAGTGGATGGACAAAAATATGGAAACACCTTGTGAAATGCATGTTTGAAAAGAAAGATTGATTTTAATGAAATATCTAGGTGGCGCTGGCGTTTTTGAATACTGACGCCACCTATACAACTTCGTAAATGTGCTAAACAGTTCAGTTGTTGTCGGAGTACTGTTATGTGAGGTTGTCATTCATTATGTCAGAGTTAACAGACTTCGAACGTGGGCAAATTGTTGGAGCACGTATGGTAGGTGCTTCCGCAAGCAAGGTAGCCGAGGTGTTTAGTGTTTCAAGAGGTACTGTATCGAAGATTTATTCCGCATATTTGAAAAGCGGAAAAACATCATCTGCTAAATCATAGCGCGGACGAAAGTGTGTCCTGAGTGATCGTGACAGACGATCATTAAGGGCAATTGTGACGAAAAATAAGAAGACCGTAGCTGCAAAGGTTACTGCTGAAATGAATGTTGTGTTACCGAACCCTGTGAGTACCAAAACAATTAGAAGGGAGCTTCATAAACAAGGAATTGCTGGCCGTGCTGCAATTGAGAAGCCACTCATCAGTGATGCTAATGCCCGTAACAGGAGAAGGTGGTGTTTAAGTCATAAAGCCTGGACTATAGAGCAGTGGAAGCGAGTAATATGGTCTGACGAGTCTTCTTTCACATTGTTTCCCACTTCTGGCCGAGTTTACGTCTGGAGAACGTCATCTCAAGCCTATAATACAGATTGCTTGTTGCCAAGAGTGAAACATGGCGGGGTTCTGTTATGGTTTGGGCAGGGCCAAATCGTGGTTCTCTGCTAGCCCCATGATAACTGTGTCAGGGCACATGACTGCCAAGACTTATGTGAACATTTTGGCCGATCAAGTTCATCCCATGGTACAAGCTTTGTTCCCCCGATGGTGATGGTGTCTTCCAAGACGACAAAGCCCCTGTTCACACAGCTCACATTGTCCAAGGACTGGTTTTCTGAGCACGAGGATGAGTTGTCCCATCTCCCCTGGCCACCACAGTCACCAGACCTGAATATTATCGAACCTTTGTGGTCTACATTAGAACGGAAAGTGCGTTCTCGTTATCCACCGCCAGCATCGTTATCTGAACTTGCCACTGTTTTGCAGGAAGAATGGTATAATATTCCCTTGGCAAACATACAGGAACTGTATTTATCCATTCCGAGAAGACTGCAAGCTGTTTTGGATGCCAATGGGTTTCCTACACCATATTATTTTAAAGGTGTTTCCATATTTTTGTCCAACCCCTGTACGTTGTAATGGTATCACTGTCTTCCCCACGGCTAAGACTTAATTGGTCGAACATCCATTAACCTTCTGATACTAATTCAGAAGTCAAACAACAAAAATCAGCGTTATATGTTCAAATTTTCACAGGACTAGTTTCGATGGTTTTACTGAACCACCATCGTCAGCTGCAAAAGCACAAATGAACGAGATAGGATATAATGATCAGATAAGATAAGAAATCCTGGACAGAAAATAAGCTAGTGGCGCCATCTGCTGGGGAAACTAGAACTAAAACATAATTTCTTTAAAGGCCGAAGGCAAAGATGGATTGGAATTAGGATCATTAACTAGAACATAAAGATTTTTTTGAATGTGAAATGCCTCTAGAAAATCCAGTTCTCCATGGAAGATGTTTTTTGAATAATTTTGGCAGCAGAAAAATTGAAATGTGATTTTCGGACCAACAGTGTTGGGCAACAGAAGACTTCTGTGTTTCCTTTTTTCTAACATATGCCTCATGTTTCTTGACGCGAAATTTTAGGCAAATGAACTTCTGATAGTTCATTGGAAGTAACAGTTATGAGTTTGTTTTACACATTCCTTTATGCCTTGTTTCATATCCACCCAGTTTAAGAGCAAGGGTTCTCAACCGGGGGGGCGGAATTTCATAATTTCAGAAGGGGGCAATGCTGTCAGTCTTTTCCTCAGAAAACTAAAACTCATAATGGAAAAACTGCAGGCTTTGGGACAGGACCTTTGTCATGTCACCTAGTGCACTACAGATTCCTACCCAGTCTTCAGTACTAACTGCCTTATTCCTGAGCGCCTCGTTGTATGGTACTAGTACTCTTGCGCGGCATGTTAGTGTGCTATTTAGTATGTGCATGATGGAGCTCAAAACTACTATATATGTAAAATGTACCAGGGTAACTTATGTGTGTTTATTTATTTATGTATATATGTATAACTGGCCTGTATCCAAGAGTAAAATGATTAATTATTAGTGTGGAATGTTTATGTACGTGCAATAACGTACGCATGTGCAAAACAAATATTATTGTAACAATTTATTCCCAGTGTTTAAACCTAGGTGCACATAAAATGTACCACGTTAATGTTTAATTATTAATGTATAATATTTATGCAACAGCTTCAGTGCGTGCATCAGTATGCAATTATTGTATTGTAAATTAGTTATTGTTAAATGTTTAAATATCAGTTTAAAATGCTCAAATTTCAATATACAGCACCAACAAAAGTTTCTATTAAGCTCCTGACACCGCGCTTCTAGGGCGTCAAAGAATTATCGCGTTGTACAGTTGCGGATACCAGACGATACCCGAATAGTCCTAGTAAGCCGCCCGGGTGTCTGGATCCGCTCTCACCTGTCACCTGTCAGTCTTCTTTATCTGTTAACTGTTTTAGTTTTAGCTCCGAGTCTAAAATCTACTTTGATTCAAGTTTTGGTATTTATCAATATTTTCTACATTTTTTTGGTTGTTGTTAAATTTATAAAACACATTGAAAAATTAACTAAATTTAGGTAAATATATATATTTTTTTTGATTTGGGAAAAGGAGAAAGAAATTGATCTTCTAGCAGGGGTGAAAGGGATGCATGGGGTAAAAAGGGTTCAGAGCCGCTGGTTTAGTGATTTATCTAAGCTTCTTTCCACATGACTTGTGGTAGAGACACTTGCTGTTGCTACCTCTGCCAACTTCCTTCGCCGTCAGAAAATGCAGTTAGATTAAGAATATTTGCCAGACATTAAGCACAGATTGGTAAATGCCATTTTAATTCAGAGTTAGGTTGATCGGCCCAAGTGTTACTGAGCAGTAAGTGCTGGTATCGTAACCAGTTAAACGGTTGTACATTCCAGTCGGTAGCTAAAAGTCGAGGAGACTTAGATTTATTTTTGTATTATTTTAATTTATCTCACAAATATGAAGAAAAATGAAACAAATATTTTGAGCCTTGGTACGTTTGTTGTTTCCACACTGAAGGGAGATAACTCGACTGAAGGGAGATAACCAAAGTTAGGTAATGGTTTAGTTTGGTTTATTTAATTACGGTAAAGCACTCGAGTGCTATATGTCTAAGAGGAAGGATGCCTTTGGGGAGGAATTTTCTGAGGGAAACTGACTCGCGTCTACTTTACACACAAGGAAAACCACGAAAACGCCCATGCAACCAGCCCGATCACCGGGATCCGAATCTGGACCGTATTGTTAGTGTTCAATTTGAATGGTTGGTAAATGCAGTGAGAAAGAATTCTCCTATCATTATAACCTAGGTGTTAATTTGATAATTTGATAAATGTGTTTTCACTTACCTGCAAATAATAGGCCATGAAAGAATAAACAGATGATAAACTGTGGATATCCGATTTCCAGGAAGACTCGAATTTTCTTAGTCATTGCACTTTTATTATCAGATGCTGTCCTAATACTGAGGCTGCATTTCAGTGCTGTGTAAAAAGAAGATATGGTAAGCTCCCTTTCAAAATACAGACCATTAAAGCAAGTATGATTAAATCTGAATTTGGCAACTACCAAGGGATTATTGAAAATTATAGTGAAACGGAGTATACGATTACTTGACAGTTCTTATGTCATTGTTGCCTTTAAATCGAGGAACCATCATAAGTTAATTTTAAACATGACATGTATTTTAAAAAAGCTCATATTTTTTATACAAACTAGTTGCCCAGCTCCTCCGAAGTGTTTTCTATCAAAATTGGGACAATTTAAGGGACTTTCGCACGCAACATTTCTGCACAAATCGAAACCAGGGATATTTCCTCTCACAGGAATGTGAACTGATGGACAGCATACGTAGCTTGTTTAATTTAGTGGAATTTATCCACAAAACCACCCTTCTTAATTATCTTTTAATAAATTTGGAATGGTGACTTTAATTACTAATTTGCTTTAGCAATATTTTATTTAGGCTACTTGTATACATAAATATAGATTTTAACAACAAAGATGTATGTGTTATATGTATAAAAATTGATAAATACCTAATATATCTCTTAAAAAGCATGTATAATTTCTCTTCATTCTCTATCTAGGCTACGGATTGACAGCAAAATGCTGGCGTGATAAAAAAATTATCAATGAATTTTACCTTTTTTGTTGATTTTTTTTAATACAAAAGGCAATTACTCTCTTGTGTGCAAAACACAAAACATACATTATAATTTTCAATTTTTTATTGCATTTATATTCTAATTCAGATTTTAGAGACAAAAAAGTAGAATTTTGGGGCACTTTTCTAATCCTGCGTTGTTTCTCAGTTAATTAAGATGATTTTAGACACTCTTGCCCACTTCAATGCACTCCCCACCCCCAATTTTCTTTTCAGAAAAATTCAAAATCTGCATAATCAGTTTCATAGTCATCTTATTCTGAACTCCTTGATCAAAATCCATTCTTATCCATCCACTGTGTTTCGGACTCCAACCAACATCACCTTCAAATCTTGCAAGATTTTGTTTGAATGTTCCTTCTTCCTATGAGGCATCCTGAACATATGCTATAACCACCACTTTGCTCCTTGATCGAAATCCATTATTACCCGTCTATCGTATTTCCGATTCCAACCAACTTCTTTAAAGCTTGCAAGATTTTTGTATTATTATTATTATTATTATTGTTCCTTCTTCCTATCAGGCATCTTGGACATATGCTATAACCACCACTTTGCTCCTTGACCGAAATCCATTATTACACATCCATTGTGTTTGGGATTCCAACCAATTCTCTTTCAAAGCTTGCAAGAGTTTGTCTGAATGTTCCTTCTTCCTACCAGGCACCTTGGACATATGTTATAACCACCACTTTGCTCTTTGATCAAAATCCATTATTATTTCATATTAATCTATATATGAATGGTTATGGTTATTTCAAATTGGAACACAAATGATTATTCTGTATCTAAGTGTGTAGCATAAGGTATTAAGAGCATATCTTCATTAATTTCAACAACAGTTATCCAATAAAAATGTCCCACGAAATAGATAAGAGCGCAATATAAAGATATTATTAAAAAAGTGTAAATTTCTAAGAATTATTTATAGTGCAAATTCTCATAGTAATCATCTACAGTAAAGGATCACCTCAAAAAGTGAACGATATTTCCTGAAATATGAATAAACAGCGGTAATGTGCAGAGGAACGCTAATAAACAGTGGTCTACTAGGGAACAGGTCCTCTTTCTAAGGCGACCAGCTCTCCAGTAGATCTGAGTCTTCGTCTTATAGAGATAGCGTTGTAAAGTGCTTTTGAATTGCACAGTTGGTTAAGCAGTATGCAATTTTTTTTAAAGCTAAGCTTATCTTTTAGTGCGCTGAATGGCAGCACCTCTGAGAACATGCAGTTTGCAAGCTGGGTGGATAATAAGAACTTTCGGTTATCATTTTTAACAAAATATGATTTTCACGTCTCTTATAAAGGCAACATTTACTTCCGGACGACGATTAATGTCATTGTAGTGTAACATTAATATAACTGTGACCAAAAAAGTGGAAAGATTTAGTTATAGGCATTTCTAACGTTAAAACATTTGTATAAATTATAAATATAATATACTTTGGTCTTACCTTGTTTTTGCCGCCTACGTGCCAAACATGATGTTATATTTAAAACCGATGGTTTTCTATGTGCATTCGCTGCTCTGATGAAAAGCTACGTCTTATTTAGAGAATGTTCAGGGAAGTATGATCGATTATGTAGTGGGAGTCGATCGAGAGGTGGGAGATGTGGAAAAACGGACCTTCCCGTGGGGGGGGGAGGATTAGATTAAGATGACTCAGAATGAAATGTTCTAATCATTCTGATATACAGCCCCACGGCTGATGTTTGTTCTGCATATGCGGGACGATGTTACGAAACAGTTCGTAGCATCATCCCGTATACGCACATGCAGTTTCGCCAGTCACGAATATTGGATTTAATAGACATGACTTTCTAATACTATATGATATGAACAATAGTTTAATTAATAAAATTTCAAGTACGAAAGCTTACAGACAATGCGTAATTTTGACAGATTACATGTTATAGGATAAAATGTAAAAGGGTAACTTTAAATGAATGCGGCTTAGCAAGTCGTTAAGAAGGCAAACTGGGATTTTATAAACATTTTAAAAAGCAGTATCGACAGAGAGAAATATCTTTTTTTTTCCTTTTTAATACTCATATATGTTACTTTTGCAACATGTTAGCCGCTTGCACTGACAATCACCTAAAACAGCTATTGCAAGAAATATATATATATATATGTGTGTGTGTGTAAGAAAAATAAAAAATATGTAAAAGATTAAATTAGCAACATAAATTTCCCTTCTCAATTCTTAACATAGTAACCTCTCTCTCTGGACTACGTCTTTTCTAGATTAATCCGTGTCATGTGACTCCTACATAGTTCTGATGATGTAAATGGAACTAAAACTCAAGCAGCCAATAGTAATTTTACAGCAATATTAATTATCCAATCAAAATGTTTTGTGAACCAAAACTAACTCAGTCCGAGTTAAGATGAACAGAACAGACTTCCTTTCTGCGCTTTGGCCTGGCCCGACTGCTATCTGTCTGCTCCTTCTTTCTTACTGCAGTTTATCTCGTAAATATATAGGGATTAATGTGTGAGGCAACATGGTTGCGGAAAAAAAAGGAAAAGTGGCCACAACTCCTGTACGTGGTTAAATATACGCATTTTTTGCATTTCATAAAAAACCTACTTCGCCGATGCATAACCACATAAATGCCTGTAAAATTCCTTGTTTACCATAGCGACACTCGGCCTAGGTTACTAACAGTATATTTCGTTTTTTGCAATTATCAAATTTATGTTTTTATCAAGAAGGATTGACAGTTTTCTTCAACTTACGTGAAAGCTAGCATTAACAGTTTCACAAAGGGAATTATTATGGCACAAATTCACTTAAAAACCCAGTTTTTGCTAGGGATTAATTAAACACTTATCCTCGTTCATCTTATAACATTTAATTGCGCAAAATTAAAATTTTGTAATAAAATCTAAAGCTTTCACTTGTTTCTTTCAAATATCTCCAAGATGAAACAACCGATAAACAAAGCAAAAAAAGGCGAAAAACAAACATAGGCTTCGAAAAAAGCAAAAAAAATATATGAAAAACAAAATTCAGCAGTTTTTAAGGTTATTACTCGTAAGGAGTAAGAAACTGAGGTTAATTGGGGGGTATACCGCCAGTGGCGAATTATTAAAATAAAAATTAACCTGTACGTTAAGGAAAGGTACAAGAAATGCCAAAATACAGGAAAAACACCATTAATGTAAAGTAAGTCAATGAAAACAAAGAACAACGAAAGGAGGGGGAACAGAGGGTAGGGTTATCAAAAATATAGATACCGTACGAACCGACAGCACAGCCAAAGTAAAAAATCTCTTCCAGAACGTACGTACGTTCGTACAGACCCAGAAAAATTCATTTTAAAGCTTTTTTTAGTTTTTTTTGAGAGAAAAGAGTCTTATTCTGTCCTTACGTATAGTATCACCAAAACATCGTTAAATTGTTTATTTCAATTGCAAGTCAAAAGTGGGTCCGTGGTGCTATTTTACCCTTTTTGTTTTTTCGCGTAAGCTTTTTTATCTGCATACACTACTTCCCTTTTTATCGTTTTAATTGTTACCAGTAAAAAGAAGAAAGTCATTTGAAACACACCAAAATGTGGGCTTGCTGACTAACACAGTCGATAAGAAAAAATTTTAATTTGAAGAAAAAAAAAATATTGCGCTTTGCGGAATGGCAACAGCGCTATATGGCAAAGCTAAAAAAAAAAAAAAAAAAAAAAAAAGAGGAAGTTTCATAATTAAATTCAAAGACAAATATATCAACACAGTTCTTTTAAACAGTTGAGTTTTCTGGTTAAATTTTTTAATTTACACAAAATTTGGAATAAATCGAAAATAAAATTTCGGCTTGGCGGTGCATGTCTTCCTAGGAAAGAATATATATGTGTTCAAAACTTGGTAGTTCTAGTTTCCCGCCTTTTTTCTTTTTTCTTTTTATTTTTTTTCAAAATGTGAGGAACATGCAGTCACACGGATCCTTCTAATTTAAATAACAGACATAACGCATTTCCATTCCTGTTCGCTTACTTTGTGCTATTCTGCGTTACATCTTTCCACTTTCCTCAGATATTTCTGTGGGATAATGAAATACAAAAATTCTTAGATTAAGTCTACGTACTGAACAATTTTCGCGATATAATTGATATTTTGCTTACAATTTTTATTGCAGTTTATAGGTCTGGTTTTGGATGTATATTTAATATTTGCGTTCCTTTTTTTCTTTCGCCTTATCTATTTTCTCACTGTTTAATTTTATGTTGTGATTTTTTCAATAATCTTGTTACTGGCAACATGCTTTATTTTACTATTGAGTTTGTGTGAATGGCAACAATTGTTCATGTTTATGTTTCAGTAGAATAGTGTTCTTAGCCACACTGCGCTGCAGGCAATTTTTCTTAAATAATATTTCATGTTTTAGAATATCAATAAAGATTTTATACAAAACTGATGCTTTTTTAGTTCAAGGCAACTATGTCTTAAAAAGAAAATTATAAGAATAAAAATGAAAATGTTTAAACTTATTGTCTCTTGTTGCTTCGTAATGATTTTTTACTCGACTATAATTCGAACTGCGATTCTTTTTTAAATTTCTGAGTGCATATGGAAGTGCTTTTTTAAAGCGGAGAAAGCTATCAACTATAGGATGTAACCAATCGAAATTCATTCGTTATTAGTCCAAAGGGGCAATTTGCCCAGAAGGACTATTAATTTCTTTTTTGCATTTTGCGTCGATTCACTACAAGCGTTGTTTCACTTTTCAAATTGTTGCCACCAAATATTATCGCCCTGCCTTATGTTTAAAGAAATTAAACATTGAAGAATCTGCATAAATGTATATATATTTCTCGCACTTTGATAAAACAACGGATCTAGAGAAATCAAATTTTAAGTAGCGTAATCCTCCTGCGAATATGGGCATCTGGAAGCCCAAAGTTGAAGGTCTATTAATTTTCTAGGCAAATTGCCCCTATGGGCTAACATATTTCAGTTTTAGCAAACACCTTCTTTATTCAATTTAAACTTCAAAAAGTCTAGAATCTTTAAGAGAAAAATTAAAACTTAGAAAGATGTTCCATATCTAAATACTACCGAGACCATTAATTACTGTATTTGTACCAAGTGGATTTATCGTGCTAGTTTGTATCAGTCTTCATACTAAATTTCCTTTACAATTATTTATGCTAATAAACATATATATCAGAAGTTCAATAATTAATTAATTGCATCTGCTTCTAAACATATAAAAATTAATAAAGATAAATACATTCAAACCTCTTCACGTCAGTATCCGGAGAACATGCAGTTTCGCTTATCAATTCATATTTTCCAAGTCCAAAAATATTTCATCTATATAATACCCTCTGTTTTCCTTTCACTTCTTCGAGCCGGAAACATAGTTATTACGTCATTTTGATCTTGCATTTTTATTCCGTTGTTATGTTAGGTTGTAACAAAAGCACCCAAATTCCATAGCATGTTTAACAGACAGGGTTTCCTCAAAGTACAAGACAATACTAAAATCTGAATTTCCTCATTCTCTTCAACCCTAGAGCATCCTATGCATCTATAGGATTTGCTTTTTCAGCTTGCGCTTTTATTTTATTATTTTCTCTTTTATAAAAAGAAAAAGCATTCAATTCGGTAAAGAATTAAATCCTTTTCAGGAAAAATTACCGTTTCTTGGAATAATTCAGAGTTGGCGAGTAGACGCTCTGTCCCCGTTTTTCTTTGTTATTTTATTTAAATATTGCGAATCCAATCTATATAAAAAATAATCATACCGTAAATTTCGAAGGGTCAGATTGTATTTTAAGGATATTAGAAATGACCGTGAAAGTTAAATTAATAAAGGAACTTGCTAACGAGGATCTCTCTAGTCGATATTTCAAGAGCATTCTGTTGTTCGGTTGGAAAAAAATCTAGACTGAATTAGCCACGCCTCCTTAATTTTTCAATAGTATTTTACGTCTTTTGATTCGTTATATATATGGAACGATATCAGAGGAAAAACAAGATCATTGGTTTGTCAGCCCTCCTGACATCGAGAGGCTTTGACGACAGACACAGTGCAGAAGGCTAAAATCGCAGTTTTTGTCTTATAATAATTATAATTATAATAAAAATAAAAATATTATAATTAAAATACATTGAAATGGTTCATCGGCTAATTCTGGATACAGAAAAGCAAGAATTTTTGTGGAAGAAGAGATTCCAATTGATTTCAGTGTTCCTCCTCCTGACGAAGTGGCATTGAAGTTGATTGAATTCCTCTTTTATTATGTTCGTTTTTCTTTAAATTGTTTAATGTTTTTTTTTTTTTTTTTTTTTTTTTTTTGTATTGCTCGTTTGAAAAGTTTTGGTTTTAACATTTTTTAAATTCTTTATTGCATTTATAAAATTATTTGAAATGTATTAATTATGAATTTCAGTTTTGGTCTTTGTGAAAAATGTTTATATCTTTACTGATAATTTTTCAGCAGCTTAATGAACGAAAATACTAGATATGTTTACATTTTGTATTTTATATATATATATATATATATATATTATGCATATGATTTTTTTAGATAGATAACTTAGTAGAGAAGACACTATTGTGTTTCAATCATGGCCAGATTGAGGAAAGATGTAGCTTGCACACGATAGAAGATAGCTTTAAGCTGTTACGTAGATGAGCGCAGTTCGGGAAAAGCACAACTAGCTTGATGGGCAAAACATCGGTTTTATTTCTGGACAGAGAGTTTCATACCACATATTTTCTTAACTGGTACAACACTAGGGGTACTGTAAGCGCCCCACGAGTTTATATACGCAGATTACATCGTTACCATACAGGAAGATATTGAGATTACATGCTTACGAAGCGACAGCAGGAGGATAGGTGATGCATATTACGTACCTGACGTATTTATTGCTCGGAAATTCTTTATTTGAATTTTAAATGATGATTGAGAAGAACTTTCGCATTGCGTTATCTTGCAAGAAAAACATGACGTCAATGACGCAGTATACATGCTTTGAAGGGGGTTCTATTTAAACTAAAATTAGGAATGTTAAAGGGCTATTGCCAGCTGACACTAAATTATTAACAATTTTCCTTTATATATATGTATATTTATATTTATATAAAAATATGAGTTTTAAAAAAATTAGCTCTTTCGCAAATCATAATAATTCAAAATTAAATCAAGATATTCTTAATCTGTAAATTATGATAGTTATAACCTGGTTTAGGAAAGAGACCATTTTCGTTATTACAAGTGCTTCAGAAGTGGTAGAGGTGAAATTTTTGTCAAGTAAGAAAATTTTCAAAATTTGGAGGAATTCTCAAATTGTAGCACCAAAAATATAAAAAGACGCACATCTACAATTATATAAACGATACATTCTCTTCTCCCACTCCTGAATAGTGTTCGAATAGAGTTTTAAGTAGTACTTTGCCTGTAGTACTAGTGGTATGTGCCCTTTCTTGCACCTAATGATGAGTACCGCACATGCTTTGCTATTGGAGCAATTTTCCAACTCTGTTGCAGAACCGTTTTGTTTTTGTCTTTTTCAAAGTTAGATTAGCTATCCGCCATTCCCATCCTTAGAAGAAGTACATACATTAGCAAAGTTCAAAGGCGCTTTATATTAGTCTCTTCATGAGCTTGATATGTTCTGTATGTGTCTGAAGTTGCTTTCATACATACGTGGTGATCATAATGTTTTAATGGTTCGTTATTATCATCTACACTTTAATTAAAAAAATTACGATTACTTTGTTTTCGAATTCAATGAGATTAACATATAATGGTGGCAAAAAAATTAGTAGTTATCTCGTTAGTCCTGAAATATATCATATTCATTTCTAAACAGAGTGTTCGATATCACAGTTATACTCGGATGGATGGTGCCAGATCATGTTCGAAATCAGAGTTTTATTATTCTTGATGGAGGCGTACTGTATTCCACATCATAGTTTCAGAGCTGTTGATGATAAAAGACCGTGTTTGTCGTCGTGGTCTTGACTGCGTCGTGTTGGATTCGATATTATAGTTGTATTGTGCTGAGTGGGTAGTTTTATCGTCCTGTGGGAGATAAAAGTTCCTTTTGTCCCCACTAGATGACAGCACTAGCTAGAATTTGATTTTTGCAATTGGCAACAATGTATTCAGGATTTTGAGGGCGTTTTGTTTCGAACTCTGCAATAGCAGGTAATACAGTGACTGTAACTACAACACTTAATAACCTACCACATCTTTTCGATAATAAATGTAAGACTGTTAATCTTAATTGCTAATTATGAATTTTTAAATGTTAACTCATTCAGGGCTTAATTTCTGAAATTAGAAGTGCTACAGCCCTAAGGAACGAAAAAGAAAGAAAAACTAGAATACATAAATAAAAAAAGAACTAGAATACATAAATAAATAAAATGACTAATAAAAATCATTAATAATTAATTTAAAAAGTATAAAATCTGAAGGTTTTTAGATTTTACTTTACGCCCAAAGGGGCGTTTTTTAACGTTTCGTGTGTTATCTTTATTTATTAAATATCAGTTCTTCGCACTTAAACCATAAAATTCAGTTCAGCAGCAATATCCGAAAAGTAATTTTAAAATGAGCATGTCTTTAGAATTTCCTATACACAGTCTCGCTGCCATTTCTCGCTTTGAAATCGTTGAGTTTCTTAATCAAACATTCGTTAAAGTTTTACAAAATATAAACTAGATAATGAAACAAATTCCAATTTGGGCTTCCAGATGCCCATATTCTGGTGAAAACGTATGTTAGTCAAAATTTGATGGCTCTAGGTTCCGTCGTTTTATTACAATGCGAGAAACATAGATACCTTTATGCATATTCCTCATTATTTAATTTCTTTAACTATAATACAGAGCTCTAATATTTTGTGGCAACAATTTGAAAAGCGAACCGACATTAAAGTTTTCAACGCAAAATGCAAAAACGAAATTAATAACCCCTTTGGGCTAATAATTAATGATTAAAGTAATTAAATAATTTAAATTTAATAAAATGTTAAGAGGCAAATTAAAATTAAATGAACGGTTTTTAATATAATTTTATTAACAAAAATAAAATTTTCGACATCAAATTTCTACTGAAATTATTCTTCAGTTACATAAAAGCAATTCAGGAGCCTTCTTACGTAGGGCTCCACTGCGCTCTGTCTAGATTTATGATTTATCCCAAAAACTAAGAAGTACCGGAGCAATTTTAAGCTCTGCTAGTATTAATTAATGGATAACTGTTCAGTGCACATGCTAATCCAGTGTTTTGGGAAATCCTGGACGATACCGGATTTTATTCGACGTTATAATTTTATCATGCTGAGCAATATCGGGCTTTCTTCAATATTGCAACTTTTTTATCGTCCCAGGCGATGCCGAACCATATTATACATGTATTTTGCTATAAAATTTAACGGTTAGTTAACTAAGCATTACATTTTATTTTGGTCTGATCTATATGTTTTGGCTTCGGTTAACGATTAAACTTGAACGATTAAACTTGAACCTTGCCTAAGTTTAAAAAAAAAAAAAAAAAAAATCTGAAAGCCTTCAGATTGTAACGGTTGTCCAGAAGGGTTTGTTCAGGTATTTTATGCTGTCACTGAACTCGCAGTCTACCAGGGTGCTGTTGCACTCACTACTAATCAGTTTTCTTACTAAGACACCTTTACCAAGCTTTTATTTGTCTTTTTATTATTAACCTTTTCTATGGTTACTTTATTTATTAAATATGACGTTTATGGTGCTTACACCATGTAAATTTTATAATTCAATTTAACAAAAAAAAAAAAAAATCACAAAATATTTAAAAACAGATATTTTTAGAATTTCCGATAAACAATCTCGCCCTCTGGTGATTAAAATTGTAATTTTTCTTTACAGTGCTGCCACCACTCGCTTTGAAATCATTTTGTTAATGATAAATTCGTCGAAATTTTACGAAATATAAAATAGATTGTAGGGTTTATATTTATTTTAACTAACATTTATTTTAAGTTTAAACTATCTTTCCTGTCAAGCCTTACTTTCCCCTGGAACTGCCTATGCCAGAGTATGTAAATTTTAGTAGAACGCGCAAATATTCAAATTATCAGCGGAAGTATTCTGAGTTAAATAGAAAGGAAACGAGTTCGAAGTGTGCTGTTCTTACTTCACGAGCGCGGAGGTAATTAGCCAGAAATTAAAGAACCCCGCGTTTCGGCCTGTGTGCTTGCCTAGGGGGGGGGTGAGTGAGAGATTATGGCGCAAAACCAAAGATGATTATAGTGCGCCAAACACGTGATGGTGTGAGTACAATTGATTAAATTAAAATACAATAAA